CTCGAACCCGGGCTCTCACTACCGAGAGTCCAATGCTCTACCAACTGAGCTACGGGACAGGCAAATTCCAAGTATTCTAAATTCCAAGATGTTTTGAAATGTTTTGAGGCTTATCACTTATCAGGCCCCTATTTGTGGCTCATATTACGATACAAGGCTGCTCCATGGTCAAGGTCACGGAGGAGTATCCTTGCTAGATGCTATTTCACTGATTCAAGTCATGAAGGCAATTTTGCCATCTTGAGGCTTTAAATGAACGCTTAGAGCAAAACGGATGCTAGATTCGTGATCAGCGGCTACGAATCCATCACATATGATCGTTCACGCGTCAAGGTGAACCAAATGTCATTTGAGGTCACAAGAGGTCAATATAAAGATCTTTTCCGAACAAAACATATGTCATTCGACGCGGCTTGATAACAACCGTGCTTGTAATTTGTCTTTATCTCTATAACTATTTTGGCAGCTATTTGATGTTCATTTCTGTGACGCCGAAGTTTGCCGTGTAGGGGTCTAGAAAAATCGACTCTGTGACGTCATCAACGGGGCTAGGTCCAAATTCTTTATTCCAGAAGATGTCAAATTAATGGGGGAAAAGGTGCTGAAAATGTCGCTTTCCTATCCCTAAGCGTTCGGGAGCTGTCGCCAATATTCACCGGGGGGGGGGGGGCAAAAACGCCCCCCCCCCTCCCCGGGCCCGCGAGGGTTAAGATAGCGATATAAACCGTGCAATGACCTTAATTAAGATAGTGAACTTAACAACCGCGCATTGTTGAAAAAAGAAGTTTGTCACTTGGGCGGATTTTAAAAATGTGGCTCTTGGCTAGTAGCACACTTCTATGGAATAATGCATAGGCTTGTACGTACTCACGTACCTACATTATGGCGCTGCGTTGTTGCTAGCGGGCGGATGTGATGGATACCCATTGCCCGCGGACTAACCTCGCCGCTGGTCATCCGCCGTGCGCCGCTGCCAGGAGTACTCGGGACTCCCCATGCATAATGCAAACAGTCAAGGGCACTGCAAGGACTGGTTAACCATTCAGGCCAGGTCCTGGGCGGGTCGTGCGGTGTGATGAGTATGTAAGGCCCCTGTCAGCCGGACCTCTTTCAGTTTGCACTGTCGAGTGCTGAGAGTGTCGCCCAGTTCTGCCCTGCATTACCGGTGGCATGAGCTGTAGCAAAATCGTCTGTTAGGTGTTTTTGCACCAGTTGGGTGCAGAGTAGGTAACCCATCTAATACTGCAATGCAAAGAAGTCTTATTTTCGACACATGGGTGTTGGTTCCGTGTCGACTGGATGCTCCTTCGCCGAGGCATTAACCCAAAACGTAGTACCCATTACGGTTGCTTTTTACAGCCAAATTGCAGCTATTTTAGGCTCGCGAAGATGATTTGTGATACCTAATTCATGCACTTACATGCAGCTACTTTATTCGCCGTTCAATGAACCGTGGCCATGGTAGCAAGCAGCACTACCTCGGTCAGCTCGGAGACCATTGACACTCCCCGGTCAGTCAGCGGTCACCGGCAGCCTCCGGTCAGCCCTGTGGCAGCGGCATGCACTGGTCACTGATGTAGATCGTGCAGGCTTGGGGCTATGCATCGCTCCTTCCGAGCAGATCATGGGGTACGAGCTTCGAGCAAAAAAGAAATAGAATAGACGGTTCGCTCAGCCCGGCTCGAAGCAGCTTGGACATCTAACGGCATTGCGCGGGATTTGGAAAGGAGAACATCGAGAAGACGTTAAATTTCACTTCGTGCAGCGATCGCGATCGTACTACATATAGGACAGTAGCATGTTTGATTGGAGCAACATGAAGCTACTTAGAAGCGACCCAATGTACAAGATATAAAACATATAACAGACACAATTAACAGAAGAGACGGAAGTCGCAATCCAAAGATTTGTGGCTTTTTAAATAGACAATGCTTTGCCTTTTGACATAAGACAGCAATCCACTCAGTAAGGAGCAATGTTGACGTCAATAAATAAAATGTTACGGGTCGTGAATTTTTATACCAACGCCCGCGGCGTTAACTACCGCCTATTATAAGCCCGTTTAATCTGCACACTGCCGGCTGTTACATGCCGCCCATATCCAGTCTGCACCCGATAGTGTTGGCCGGCAGTCACGGGTGCACCCCGGGTCCCGGGGTGGGGTCATCCACCCTATGACCGCGGCAGGGTGGTTGGACCGTGACCCGCTCCTCTGTGCAGCCCGGTCCCGGTGCCGGGCGGCCGCGAGATAGGCGCTCATCGAGAGCTCGGTCAGCTCGGTCGGCTTTATAAAGTACCGGTACCTACTTACTATCCCAGAACGACAGAAAGCAGATGCGCTCATTCAGCAGGCTGATATTGCCTGATCGCGAGTTATAACGATACGCCATGCGTGGGCGCTTATGTGCTTCGGATTTATGGCTGCTTCCATGCGACTTGATCAAGATGTAACAGCACATCCTTTTGTTCGACGATTTTAACCGTTCCCGTAGCCGTAACGAATAGCGCATAAAACAGTATTTGAGTGCGGACCGATCATCGAGTGTGCGCACTGCTCTGGCAGGCTGAGAAATTATTCCGGAGAAATGAGAGTCCTAAAGCTTCAATAGCTGATCAGCATTGAATCAGGTGTGCACTCAGTTGCAGGACTCGTGTCATATGGGATGATCCGTGATCAAGATAGGACCCAAACCGGCAATATAGCCGTCTGTCGTCTGATTATGGCGTACCATTTGCATCTAGAGGATGACTTGGCGAAACGCCTTTTGAGGAATTAATGCCATGCTGTCAACTGATTCACGTTTTACCGGATCGATTGATCTACATCATGGGACAATCCACATACATGCTGGTACAAAAATCGAACAAACGTTGTAAAACTTTCTGCATGAATCAGATTCTTTCAAGCACTTTTTCATTCCATTCGGAAAAAAAAATCTTCGAAAAGCCTATCAAACATTAGCATACATTGCACTCGACGATGCCCGATGTTTTATTTTCAATCAGGAGCACTTATCGTATGATGAAATTAAAGTATTAGGTAACCCCTACTATAAACACATTTTGTGTTGCATAGAGTATGGTATCTATGCGGTAGACGGACTCTTTCGATCTGAAAAGACCATTGCAGAGCTATGGATGATACGATAGGGAAGTATAGGTATGATAAACGTCCTTTGCCTCGTGCCATTATCATTCTTTAGATATAGAAGCTTTCCAAGGTCAAAGGCGTATAGCTAAAAGGCATGCGATAATGTCACACAGCCTCCCGGACGTTTACCTGTTATTGTTTCTTTGCCACCCTTATATTACCGTCGCTGACGTAAATACCAGCCTTCCATCATCTGAAATAATCAGCATGTCTAAAATGACGCCAGGATGACATAATGCACTTGCGTGGCTTGATAAGTGTCATAGTGACGCGATCGTGGTATAAAGGATGGCGTGATAAGTTTATGCAGCGGCACGGCCCATACACTCAGGGGCATCGTTGATGCGTTAGTTGTACCAGTGTGTGTGGTGAGTGGCGCGTCGGAACTCGCGTCTGTGTTATAGTGCGAGAGAGGAAGTCAGGACTCTTTCTGCGGGTGAGTTCTTTATGGATGAGGACTGAGAGTCCGCTTGGTTGGTGGGCGACGGAGGGGGTCGAGGAGGGGGTGATTAGAGACGGCCACGGACCGGCACGGATGACCGTGAGGCGACAGCATGGGGTCCCGGACAATGCCACGCAGGTGGGGGGGGGGGGGGGGGGGGGGGAGCCGAGGAGTAAGACAAACTTCGCCAGTCCTGATTCTTTCTTTTGTCACTGCTTTTTCTCCGTTTCTTTGTTTTGTTTGCTTTTTTGTTTGTTTTTCATCTTTGAGCTCAAGTGCTCGTGGTAATTCCGTGAGAACAGAGCAATTTTTATTTAAACAATGTAATGTATTGTATGTAAGCTAATTTCTAATTCTTTCGGCGCCTGTTTCTCTCTCTCCCTCTCTCTCTCTCTCTCTCTCTCTCTCTCTCTCTCTCTCTCTCTCTCTCTCTCTCTCTCTCTCTCTCTCTCTCTCTCTCAAATTAAGTGGTGCTATTCCACATACCGCATATTTTGCATCGGAACTTCCGGTGGGCGTTTCACTGTAATACCAAGCTCCAATGCGTGCTATGCAGCTGCACAGTACACATTGCATAGTGCACAGTCACATCCATTCTGCGCTATATCCGTCCCAGCTGACAGCACAGTGCGCTTCAGCTCTCGTTATATTCGAGCTGTCAGTGCCCCAGCGCTCGACCAGGCGGTAGGTATTTTGCACCTTTATGGTTCTATGCTTTGTTCTCTTAGTGAATCTGGTCTGCTGTGAGCACCTACCTGTGAGTATAGCTGTGAGTATGTATTGTTATAAAACGCCTTTAATATTTTTTAGCGCTTGAGTTACCTCACTGGTTAAATGCGCATTTCGGTAGAACGTTGAATTGGTTTAATCATTATGTATGTATGTATGTATGTATGTATGTATGTATGTATGTATGTATGTATGTATGTATGTATGTATGTATGTATGTATGTATGTATGTATGTATGTATGTATGTATGTATGTATGTATGTATGTATGTATGTATGTATGTATGTATGTATGTATGTATGTATGTACATATGTATGTATGTATGTGTGTATGTATGTATGTATGTATGATTATGATAATGCGTAAGCATGGATGTATTGACTTCAACCTTCCACGTATTTATGCACATATACATACATACATACAATATTACATACTGTATGTAATAGCGCTGTGATTACAGCCCAGCCGAGTCACGAGTCTCATCAAACATGCGGGCACAACATTCAACAACATTCAACATTCACCAGGGTGCAACATTCGACGCCATTCGTCAGCCATTCGTGGGGCCGCAGTACAAAATGTGTCGATCATATGCACATATATTGAGAGACTGTCAGACCTTGGTATATTACTATGATTGTGTCGATTGTATGTGCGTCTCGGTATCGGACGCATACCTGTTCTGTCGTGTCGGTGTGGGCTGTGGGCTGTGTGGCGGGCATTGTTCGGGGGTCAGTGGGCCGGTCAGCGGTGGGTGCTGAGTGCCGACCGGGCCTCCCTCGCCCGGTCCGGTTGCTCCGGTCACTCGCCGGTCGGGTCAGCTCGCCCGACTCGGCGGCCGGTGCCCCGAGCTCTGGCCGGCCCGGCGGCCGACGCGGCGCGGCGCCGCTTAAGGCCGGCGCACCTGGCGGCGCACCGTTCAGAGCCGCCGCGACCGTCCTGCTGGCAGGAGTAGTCGCGCCGCCCGGCCTGTGCACCGCAGGCCGCCCACCCACCCCCACCCGTCACCAACCAGAGAAACATCGGCCCCATTCGGCGCAGCAGTGCAAGCCGCAGCAGCAGACTGGTGAAACCGCCGTGAAACTACAGACACAGGTGAGTGTGAACTGGTGACAGCTCCCAGAGAGATTCGGAGGGGGCGGGTTACTTAGTTTTACTATGTTGACCATCTGGCTTTGCCAGGGTAAGCGCCAAACTTGTAGGAGACATCAGGCCCAGGTTCAGAACTTACACAAGGTGACATCACCTATATAAGTGTTATAAATTGTTTTTTTTCCTGAAGTCCAAGTGAACGAAATTTTTACTTAGACAGATCTGTAACATTACAATCCCTCCAAGGCCCTTCCTGAAACCGTCTTTTTTTAGTTCTGAAAGTTTATAACTCCAGATATAAGGTCATTGGTATATTTTTTATTAGGGACATCAATTCGATGAGCAAAAGAAGGAAAAAGGAAGATATGCTAGGAACTAGTATATCTTGTACGGCTGTCGCTTATTTAAAATGGCCTGAAAATATTCGCTAGGTATCTCACACCATGGCAATAAACTGAGTGCAGCGATGCAATTGCATTCCTAGCTTGTAGCTTGATGTTGTTAAATATTTAGATTAAAAAAATAACAGAACATGTGGTACTGATGAAAGTTCATGCCTTCCCTGGGGACAAATTGAGGTATATCTTCGCCGTTGCTAGTCGCGCAACAATTATTTGCAGCACATCTTTCCGTGCTGATCCAAAGCAATAAACAACGCTGTATTGCCCGGATGTTATTTTCTATTTCGAGCCGGTAACTAGGTTTGCTACACAAATCCTATTACCACCTAGCGATTGGGGAGCGGTCGTCTTAGCGTGGCGCTCGTGAGCACGTCGCCCCATGCGGTATTGATTTTGGCAGGAGGCTGCCCTGGTGCCGGTGACACGACCCTGGCCGCTACGTGTTGAGTGGCACCCGTCCCCGTCTGGGCTGCAGCCAGTGACGCTGACCTGACCTCGAACCCAGCCAGAGACTCCGACCAGACACTGGCGTAAATGCGCTAACATAGGTGTCGTAAATTATTGAAACGGTACTTGCCGTGGTTGGAAATGATGTTCCATGAAATTTCCAGGAACCTCATCGTGCAAGGTACGGCGTACACCAAAACAATAATTGTGGTGATTAAAGCTCAACGCCGTTACCTGTCGCACAAGGTACGACTAGATCTTGCACTTGGTCAATGTCAAAGTTAAATTTAAATTAATGTATCAGAACCTATTTATAAGGAACGCTTTCTCACCCGGTGCGTTGCTTAGGCTGCCTGATCGCTATATAGGTATCTGTAAATTTTTCACGTGTGATTGCAATGCGCGACTGAGCTTAAGCTGAAGAAGAGTGCGGGATGTGATCACTGCATTACACAAAATGACTTTCCGCTACAAATAACGCAGTATGGCAACATAAGTTTCAGTTAATGTTTTTCCGATTTTCAGAGGTACATTTCCCAATGATAAATGTATGCTGGAATCCAATTTAGAGCTTCGGCGTTGACTCACAAGAAACGGCCATGGCTCATTTCCTCATTCGCTTCTGTCACGATTTTAGTACAGACACTGTCGCTTATTATTCAGGAATGTCCAGCACGCTTCACCACCCATCCAGACCATGTTGAACCTACCGAACTTTCTACTGAGCTTTACCGTAATCAATTCGTTGTAACAAGTGTCCAACATCCCCTAATCTGGTTAGCAGCCTTGACCAACTCTCTCTCTCTCTCCCACTTCTAAATATAATTGCCAAGGCCCTGTGCCCGGCTGAGCGTCTCGGTGCAGGCCGTCACTTTCCACGGACGCTCGCTCCGTCTCGTCACCGTCTTGCGTGCACGTGAGCTGTCTGGAGGATCGTTCTGACGGCCCAGAAGCGGTGAGCGCCGGCGGCAGTGCACTGAGGCACGTGTCGGCACGGCGTACCGTTCACTGGAACTCGTGTCAGTTAAAGTACAGAGCCCTGTGGAGCGGTAAGCTCTGGTCATTGGAGCCTCCGTCTATGTCAATACGGTGCACCGTTCCGATTGGAGCCGTGTCGGCAAGGTGCACCGTTTAATGTAGCCGCTGCGAATAAGTATACACTGTGCAGTGTGCACCGTTGAATGGAATCAGTGTCAATACTGTGCACCGCTCACAATTAAAGCCAGTGTCGGTGGCTACTGGCTGCCATACCTACTATCGCTCACTGCATATATTAGTGAGCGCGGCGCACATTCCCCGCCGCGCGTGAGAGAGAGAGAGAGAGAGAGAGAGAGAGAGAGAGAGAGAGAGAGAGAGAGAGAGAGAGAGAGAGAGAGAGAGAGAGGGAGGGAGAGAGAGAGAGAGAGGGAGAGAGAGAGAGAGAGAGAGAGAGAGAGAGAGAGAGAGAGAGAGAGAGAGAGAGAGAGAGAGAGAGAGAGTCGAGCCTTTCCCTGGCGCTACCCGGTGCTTGGCTGGATGGCTCGTGAGCACCCACAGTAGCGCCGTGATGACGAGGCAGAACTGGTGCCGCTCGTTATTTTCCCGTCCACCACATCTGCGGTGTACCGGCTGAGGTCACAGGGAGTGATTTGGGAGTTGTCGGCGGTAATGTATATATTTTAGTGTATCGCGTCGTCGATATATATATATTTTTTAGTGTATTGCGATCAAATGACATGGCTCAGAGATGGAACTAGTCGGAGAACATACATAGGCTGGCTTGTGGAATTTATCTTAAGAAATCTGTCCTTCATCGAGCTAAACAAAAAGCTAAACAAAAAATGCATGAATATTGAATATCACGAAGACGGCTGTAGGTATGAAATAACAAACTTGAAGTAACCCCAATATCGTATTTTGCGTCCAAATTAATGCGGTTAAACCGTCACTGACCCTGACGTAAGACTAATAACATAACTGTCCAACACATCCGAGTTCAACTGCAATTTATGTCTTGCAGTCTTAGCTGGTATAAAAGGCTTAGCCCATGCACCTGAGCTGCTCCTTGGGGTTTTGGCTCCCTGGCCCGCCTCATCCCGCCATGATTAACGGGCTCGGGAAATCCCGCGAGTGCACACGCGATCACGACCGCCATGGAACGGTTTGTTGGCGTGCCAATTCAGCTCTTCTGGATGCCTTGTTCATGCCAGAGTTTGTAATTTGTATGCATGCTTTGGAAACGTGCTAACATCCCTACAGGGCGTTGGAGTGATCGTTTTCACTTTCCCTTCACCTCACGCGCCTTTATGAGCATGTACTATGCATGTTTGCATGAACGTTAGATCCATCAGAAGGTCTCGCGTACTCTCTCGATGGTCAATGAATTCAATGAGCCTTTTGAACCCCTCCAAACCAAATACTAGCATGTACAAGGGGCCTTGAAACCAATAGATAGGGCGCCCCCTCCTCCCTTTACCCGATGCAGTCCGCCGCGGTGCCGCCGGTTTTTACCGCCCTTCCTGTCGCTCCTCGCTGATGTTCCCGACGGCACTGAGTGGCCGTGACCGAGGCCGGTGTGCCCCCCCTTTCAGCACCCCTGTACCCCTCCCCGGGCACTTAACACGTACGGGGACACGGGTGTGACCCTGGCCGGCACGGGCCGGGGGGGGGGAGGGGGAGGGCGTACCGACCCTGACCTCCGACAACACGGTCGGCGCTTATTGTGGCCGGCTCTTTTTCCTGTTCTTTCTTTCGTTTATTGTCTGTTCTTCTTCGGGCAAAGGGCTACCACGTCCATTGTAGTTCTTTCACGTCCCACAACTAACTCACGACTTTGGGTATAAAGGCAGTCCTTCACTGCTATTGGCATCAATTATTATAACATGCTCGTTGTTTTACTTTAGCTGCCTTTTCTACAAACATACGAGTATGATATGATAGTATGATAGGCGCAGCGCATTCTGGCACATCAGGAGAAAATGTGCGGCTTCTCCGCGTTTTTTTCGGTCAGGTCATCGACCGAATTATGAGTCTGATCTTGTTTTGATGGGCTCCAGCGTTCTGTGAATCATTTATCGCCCGGCCCTCCGACACTAACAAGGTACGAAATTCGGGAATGATGACAGAAACAGGTTAGTTTGACCGAATTGTGTCCTAGATCGCAATAATATAGCTTTAATTAATTGGTAGCTTATTCCATTGTGAACCCGGAAGTGGGAATCTCGTCCAGATTTCAACAAGAACAAAACTTGAAACAATATGCGAGCTTCAATCCTTATCACACACTCTCAATCGGTTTACGCCATCGTTGAAGCTGTACTTACCAACATTAATTCGACAACTATTCGAAAACCTTCCAGATTAACCAGATTGTCAGACCAGGCATGTTTGCGTTGCAGGATATCGACTCGCTGGAGCAGTTGCCTCCGACGGGCGTAGTAGCTTTCCGCGCCGGTCACAACGTATCTCTATTCCGGGTCGTACCGCGCCGTGCTCGGTCAGGAAGCGGCCAGGGCCAGTCGCGGCACTGATGGCATTAGTGCCGATCTCTAGTCCATGGCACGGCGCCGCGGACCCTGTGACTAGTTTGTCAGTTTGGTCTCTCGAGATGGGCCAGCCTGTCGGCCCGTCGGCCGCCCGGGGATACGGAAGCCGTCGGCTCCAGTGCCTTCCGTACACGAGACCGAATAGAGTGGCCGAACGGAATTCATGACGAGTTAAATCAGTTTCAGGGCGTGTTCCCAAATCCCATTTCATGGTCAATCTATAATGATGTAGCACATCTGGAGCCACTAAAAATACATTTTCGCCTTGTGACGGCCTATGCTTTTCGTTAGGTCTGGAGAAAAAATGACGATCGGTGTTAAAACATCAGCAAATTATGCATGGATAATGAAAAGCTTGTAATGAAAACTGCCTCGTAAGCATGGCTTGCGATCTATTCATTTCGGCGCCCGGGCCTTTTCTATTCAGAGATGCGTCTATAATTATTGTTTGCATTTTTGGCTGGTCCAAGGTCAGGTGTTTTTAAATATCACGTTTTGCTTTGTCACCTCAAGTCACCAGACCGAGAGGTGTCCCTGCTGGTTTTAGATGCCGCGAATAGTAGCTAACCGGATGACAGACAATACTAGTCTGGCACGCCTCCCAGGCTCACAGCATTGAAGGTCTTCAAAG